TTCCTACATATTATTATGAAGTTTCGAACGGCTTTTGTGGCGCCCAGCTCGAGGGTTTTTGGCCGGGGTGAGCTTGTTATGGATGCCAAAGAAATTGCGATTCGGTACCTCAAGACTGATTTAATTGTTGATTTTACTGCCGCGCTTCCCCTGCCTCAAGTGAGTATTTATATTTTATTTGACTTAGACACAAAATTTAATGCTATAATTTGACTTTATTAAAATAGTGATTGTGGAAGAAAATAGTGAATTAATGGTTAAAATATCAATTGTATGGGTAAACTTCACGTCATGATTAAATCTGAATAAGTTACTCCGTTCGTCCTAATTTTTGCTTATTGTATAACATGCACAGAGTTTAAGAAAGAATTACTTCTGAAACTTGTCATTTAATACAAGTGATAGACATTTGTGTCGCGATAGCATGCCACATAAATTGGGATATAGGAAGTACCAAATTTGAATTTTTGAAAGTTGTAATCAGAATGTCTTTCATAAATTATAAACGCAGCAATGTTTCAGATTTCTTGAGGAGCCATCACAATCTTATCTTTTGAGGCATGGACACAATTATTTGATTTTCAATTGGAATAATCACCATGAACATTCAAGTTTAGTACTGCTATTATTCTTCTTTTCATTTTTTTCTCTTTACCTCTTGCAGATCGTCATTAAATATGTAATACCCGCAGCTAAAAGAAATGGATCTGGTCACTCCAAAAGTACTCTTGCTCTTATCGTTCTCATCCAATACGTGCCAAGGTTGTTCGTTATTTTTCCGTTAAATCAGCAGATTATCAAAACTACAGGTTTTATTGCTAAAACAGCTTGGGCAGGAGCAGCTTACAATCTCCTTCTTTTCATGTTAGCCAGTCATGTAAACACTCATGCCCATCTCTTTCATTTTGGAATTTGGTATCAGAAGACACAAACTAGAAATCACCTGACTTGCGAGTTGTGTGCGTTTTCTTCTGCTTCGTGTGCAGGTGGCAGGAGCTTCGTGGTATGTGGCATCTATAGGAAGACAGTACTCTTGCTGGTCGAATGAATGTAAGAAGGAACGTGATGCAGTTCCACCGTGCGTGCCTGATTTCTTAGATTGTACAAGTGATACGGATACATATGTACGTGATTATTGGCGAAACAGCACGCAAGTGCTTGTAAAATGTGATGCTATAAATGATGAAGATTCTGGTTTTAAGTTTGGAATTTTCGCTAACGCCTTTACTAATGAAGTGGCTTCATCAACATTCATGGAGAAATATTTATACTGTCTTTGGTGGGGTCTAAGAAATTTGAGGTTTGCTTTCTTAAACTGCAAACTTACTTTTCTTCTTCCCTCCCTTTATGTCTCTTTTGTCTTTTCCTCCTTAGTTTTGCAATTCAATGGTGTTGCTGACTAGAATTGAAGGTTGGCTTAGTTTTGCATATTCAATGGTATTGATGACTAGAATTGAAGGTTAGCTTAGTTTTGCATATTCAATGGTGTTGATGATTAGAATTGAAGGTTAGCTTCGTTTTGCATATTCAATGGTGTTCATGATTATAACCGAAGCTTGGCTTAGTTTTGCATATTCAATGGTCTTGCTGATTATAATTGAAGGTTGGCTTAGTTTTGCATATTCAATGGTGTCGGTGATTATAATTGAAAGCTGGCTTAGTTTTGCATATTCAACGGTAGTGGTGATTATACTTGAAGGTTGGCTTAGTTTTGCATATTCAATGGTGTTGGTGATTATAATTGAAGGTTGGCTTAGTTTTGCATATTCAGTGGTTGTGGTGATTATACTTGAAGGTTGGCTTCTCAAAGTTGTTCCCCCTTTTGGCTTGGGTGTAACTTAAGATGCATATTCTTATTCTGATATAGTCCTTCCATTTCATTTATGTGACAGTATTTGACAAGTCAAGAAGTGATTTAAGAAAGAAAGAAAAACTATTTACACATATGCTAAATATATGTAACATACCAAAAATATACAACAACAACGACCCAGTAGAATCTCACTAGTGAGGTATGTGGAGGGTAGAGTGTACGCAGACCTTACCCCTACCCCAGAGGATAGAGAGGCTGTTTCCGGGAGACCCTCGGCTCAGAGACAATAGATACATAACAACAACAGAAACTAGAAAAATAGTATCAGCATCGTAAAAGACAGCAAATAAATGAAAAGGCCAAAATGTGAAAGACGGCAAAAATATGAAACACAACAAAAACCGCTAGCAGTCCTAGACAAAACACTATCAGACTAGCCGGCACAACGAGGAGAAAAGCTCGACTACCCCCTAAGCTACAACCCTAATGCTCGACCTCAAACATACCAAAAATATCTTTAGATTTTATGGTCTTAGTGCCTTGTAATTAATTCCTATAATGGTAGAGTCAAATTAAGGGTAATATGGGAGCATTAGAATTAATGACTTCCATATATCGAAAGGTGTCAATCTTCTTGGAATGGACTAAATTGGAAAGAATGTCATATAAAATGGAACTCGAGGGAGTATATTTTTTCTGTTTATCTGCTATGTAGTACAGTTTATACAAACTGATTGTATTTATAAAAATTAGTCCAACTTTTAAAGGACCCTTTGGCTTTAAGTCTGCATCCTGAATATGCAAGTCACTCTGTCTGTTTGATACCCAGTCTCTTCTGTTTGGCTAGTTCGTCAGGCAGCTCAGAGTTGAACTATGATTTCACAAATATTCCCCATTGTCTATCCCGGCTACTTAATTTTGGCAAAAACTTCCAGTGCTATTAATCATTGTAAATTATAAAGTATGTTCCCTGCTACTCCATAGAGATCCTCTAGAGGCTTTGTCTTGGATCTTGTTGACTACTCCGTATTTTGTCAATCACAATGAAGGATTCTACTCATTTTTCAGAGCTGATTTCATGAAAATGAATTTCTTGTCTCCTTTGTTGCTTAGGATACCATCAAATCTTTTCAGATCTTTTTTCAGGTTAGAGAATCTTATTTTTGTCTTTACAAATGTTGTCTTGCAGTTCATATGGGCAGAATTTGAATACTAGCACTTATATTGGCGAAACATTATTCAGCATTTCCCTATGCATCATTGGCTTAGTTCTCTTTGCACAGCTTATTGGAAACATGCAGGTAAAATTTTGATGATAATATGTCAGAATAGATCATTATTATCACCTTGTGCGGTTAGTTAGCTGAAGCAATTTCATCATGGTTTATGTACATCATTGATTTCGAATACATGTTATGTCAGTCACCTTAACGTTGTTCTGATGATTCACCTCTAGAACAATGTTAAGCATGATAGGACTGTTGAATAAGACATTGTTAATTTGTGATAGTTGATTTATATAATTTCGTGTTAATTGTCAGCAACATGAAATATTTCACGGAGTTGGAAATTTAGTTCTTTCAAGAGTCACAATGTCTCATTCGACAGTCCTATCATGCTTAATATTGTTCTAGAGGTGATTTATCACAACGTAAAGGTGACTGACATAACTCCAATTTTCCTAGTTCAAGTTAATGTGTCTGCTATGTGCCGTTACTCAAGATCTGTTTCCTAAAATTCTCATATAATAAGCAGCTTAGGTTCATCGGCATTAGTAGTATAGCCAGTAATCAACATTAATTCTGAGTTGAATTGGGTACAGTGATATCTATTCTTAAATAATGCTTAGGTTTGTAGGTGATTGGTAAGACTTGCTTAAAATTTGAGCTATCATTTTTCATTTGTTTCATCTAGTATAGTACATGCTTCTTTGTCCTTGATACACTTATGAGTTTCTTTCCTTTCAGACTTATCTGCAATCTATGACCGTAAAAATTGAGGAATGGAGAATTAGAAAAAGAGATATAGAAGAATGGATGAGGCACCGACAGTTGCCTGAAGACTTGCAAGAACGTGTTCGCCGTTTTGATCAATGTAAATGGCTTGCTACAAGAGGAGTTAATGAAGAAGACATCTTGCAATCTTTGCCTTTGGATCTTCGTCGTCAAATCCAAAGACACCTATGCCTTAAACTTGTTCGACGAGTATGTCTTTCTTGCACTATCATAGATCATTTTTTTGCTAGACTCGTGCATTATATTGGAGTATCATGACAAGTTGGCCATGTCATTACGATCTTTATATATATGTCATGGCCTGATCATCCGATATATGGTGTTTGCGCTATTTAACTTCTCTTGGCATTGAAACACTTTCAGGAGGCAAACATAAAGGAAAAGAGCTGTAGACAGAAAACCCCTGGCCACAAGTTAAACAAATAGAAACGAATTGAGCAAAAGAAATGCATTTGTACCAATGAATGCTACCTATAAGAAACATTACTAGTATTAGTGAATGAATAAAGAAAATAACTTTATCTCTTTAATCATCAACTAAGCATTGACATGTGATGTGCCTTACATTTTGTATTGCATTCAGTCACTTACTTGTACTTGTGTTCCTACTCTGTAAGTACCTAAGCTAGCCGCTTCTGTTTGCTAAGCTTTAGAGATCCCTAAATCTCCTGTCCATGCAGGTTCCATTTTTTGCACAAATGGACGATCAGCTGCTTGATGCAATTTGCGAACGACTAGTCTCGTCCCTAAGCATAAAGGGTACTTATGTTGTTCGAGAAGGCGATCCAGTTAATGAGATGTTCTTTATCATCAGGGGACAACTAGAGAGCTCCACGACAAATGGGGGAAGATCTGGATTCTTCAATTCTATCACTCTTAGACCTGGTGATTTCTGTGGTGAAGAATTGCTGACATGGGCCTTAGTTCCTAATACAACGCAATTGCCTTCTTCAACTCGAACTGTGAGAACACTTTCTGAAGTTGAAGCATTTGCACTTCGAGCTGAAGACCTGAAATTTTTCGCGGTTCAGTTTAAACGTCTTCACAGTAAGAAGCTACAACATGCATTCAGGTATTATTCTCAACAGTGGAGAACATGGGGTGCTTGCTTAATACAGGCGGCATGGAGAAGGTATAGGAAGAAAAAGATGGAAACTGAATTGGCTTTACAAGAGAGCTATTATTATAATCAAGATCCTAACAACAATAATGATCAAAATTATGAGGCTTTTGAAGATGTTGGTCTTGAGCAACCATTGGTAGGCAGTGCTCATAATTCCCAACAACTTGGAGCTACAATTTTGGCTAAAAGATTTGCTACTAATACGAGAAGAGGAATAGAACAGAAGATTCAGATGACTGATTCTTCTTCCAGCTTAAAGATGCCCAAGTTGTTTAAGCCAGATGAGCCTGATTTTTCTGCAGAATGAAGCCATTAATTAATTAGTTAGAACACCCAGCTTTACTGAAAGGTACTAGCTAGTGAGTAATCATAAAGCTAGTACACTTTTTATTTGTAAATTTCAGGAGCCATAGGCCTTTGTCAATTTTGACTACAATATTCCTTTTACAATCATGTTAAATACAACCTTCTTCTGTACTTGCTTGTGCCTAAATTTGTGACAGATGATAAACCTACAGATAATTAGGTGGTGAAATTAGATAAGTTTATGTAATTATTTTAACAGAACAACTCCACTTCACCCAAAAAATAGCTTCTTTTTTTCTTTTCAAATAAAAAATAATTTCTCTTGTTTGGTTGGTGCAGAAAAAAATGTACCACCAAAAAGTTGGTCTCTTTCTCTGCCAGGAAGGAGAAAGAAAATGTTTAACCATTTTCCTCCTCATTAATTTAAAAAAGCGCAGAAACTGAAAGAATATGAAAGGCAAATAAAAAGAAGGAAAAAATAATATACGTTAAAGAAGGAAAACGGAACAGAAAGAAGAACAATCATATTTTTGAATATTACCACCAATCAGCTACCCTTAATTAGCATTTGAGCTGGAATAAAAATATTTCTGATATAAAGCACTTATGTTGTAACTAGTCTTAGGCTACGCGCTTTGCGCGTGTACCTATATCAATAAATATGTAATTTTTAAAAATTATGTAAATATTATTAAATAATGTATTTGAGTTAAATATTAAAAAATATAAGTTCCTAAAATTAATGCATGTTAATTTTTACACGTTCATATTCTTCCAAAAATGAATATGTATTCGTAAATAAGATGTTTTCACATACAACTACATTGATCTTAGTAAAAGGTGCTTTAGATGCACGTGGTTCCAAGTTAATGCCAGATAAAAAGGATTTCGGTTATAGTTTTCCGTGCGATGGCCCAGGACGAGGCGGTACTTGTGATATTTTGGCATGTGACGCATTTTATTTGGCAGTTTTTTGGATGTTAAATACTATTGGATGGGTTACTTTTTATTGGCATTGGAAGCACATCACATTATGGCAGGGTAACGTTTCACAGTTTAATGAATCTTCCACTTATTTGATGGGCTGGTTAAGGGATTATTTATGGTTAAACTCTTCACAACTTATCAACGGATATAATCCTTTTGGTATGAATAGTTTATCGGTTTGGGCATGGATGTTCTTATTTGGACATCTTGTTTGGGCTACTGGATTTATGTTCTTAATTTCTTGGCGTGGATATTGGCAGGAATTGATTGAAACTTTAGCATGGGCTCATGAACACACACCTTTGGCCAATTTGATGATGAGCCATCATCTATATGTGCTTTATAAAATCTCATGTCAAATCGATGACAAATATTACTTTCATAGAGTGAATGATTACTTTGAGAATACTTATTGTAAGGATTATTTTGAGAATCCTTATTGTTCTCATTACCACAATAATAACAATTATAATTTTGTCTATTGCCACGTCCACATCCATTGATATATTCAAAGTAATAATTTTGTCTTCTTTCAGACTTATCACATATTGCTATCACATTCCCTTAAGGGAATGAGAATGGAGCAAATTCAATGGGACGAGTTTTCAATTCTTTGCCCACAATCATACATGAATTTGATCATGACAAGGCATAGAAATTTTACCACTTTGGGTGGTTATAATTTCTTTTAAACTCCATTAGAGTTACAATCAAAATTTATCGTCTTTACTTGTATTTAAAATCAAATTATAGAATGTTAAGAATTTGAAAGAGAAAAGTAAAATAGCTCAATAAAACAAAGAAATCCTACTCCACATAAGTTTTTATATACCTTATTATGATTTATGAGGAGTGAAATATCTTCTAAAAATTATTGTTATCTTTATTATCAAATACTATAAACAAATAACACATAAAAAAATAATTTTACCATAATTATTTAAAGATAACCAAATAAATTTTGAATATTTTGATCATTTAGAAATTTGCGAGTGATGAAGTAGAAGTATAGCTCCTAGAAAAATATTGATAAATAACAATATAAAGTTTTAAATAACCAATATTGAATTATAAAAAACAATGTAGTACTACACTAAAAATTATAGAAAGCTATCATTTAAAGAAAAATAATAATGATAACTTCTTTTGAATAGCTTTTATCTTATGTTACATCCTTAATGCTTCAAATGTAGCATTTTTAGTAATTTAACTTTTAATACTATATTATAATAAATTTTTGCTCTATCATTCTTTTATTTCTTTCATGACTGATGCTCTTTTTGTGAATAAATTTGTGTATCTTAAAAGTTTTATCAACTTGATAAATAATTTTACTTACCTAATGATTTTGGAAAAAAATGGATTAATTTTTTTTACTAATTTATTAATTCAAAGACTTGATTATTTGTTGAGATTTCATTCTTTTGTAATTGTATAGAAAATACAAATTATTCTAAACTTTTTTTTCCTACTCGAACAATATATTATTCGTGTAATATTTAAAAACTACATTTAGTAATTAAAATATATATTTATTTAGGTACAAAAATCTCTTACTTTTAATAGTACATCTCGTTAGCATTGTAAGTTCCCTACTAAGAAGCATGAATGTGAAACATATTTCCATTGAAATTTGTCAGATATACAAGGAAAAGAAAACGTTAATATTACTCCTATTTTTCCAAATAATATCTACGTTAAAGACCTTAATACAATAAATTTTGTTCAGGGTTGAAAAGAAACTTACCTTTTACTTTTTATATTCTCTTCGTTTTTTCTTAATATATTTTATTCTTATTTAGTTGATTTCGAACTCCTAAATATTAGATAATGATTAAATTTTTACTTAATTTTAAAGTGTTAAATATTAGGAAAGAAACTTAAATTATATATATGTCTAATGTGAAACTTATTTTAAAATGGTAATAAAGGCGAACGACATTTTTCTGAGGGCCTTCGTGTTTTTAATATAATATAAATATAGATAATAAATTTTACGATTCGTCAAAAAAAGAGATAACAGCATCTATGCAATTGGATTACGTGTAACTAGTTTGACACATAGACACTGCCTTACACTTTCAATTGCCACATCGCTCGTTTTGCATGCGCGCGCAACGCATTTTTCTCAGCGAATTTTGCCTATGCCCTAATTTCTTAAACTGTGCTTATCCCCTTCTACTTCTGAATTCATCAACAAATTTTAAGTGATCTCTTGCTGTCAGTTGCATGCTATGGCTACTCTACGGTTCTCTTCTCTGCTGGTTTCTTCCTTTCTTCCTGCTTTTCGCTCTTCAGGTATATACCTCTTTACCTTTGTTTATGCACAAAGTAATTTTTTTTTTATTAGTATTGCCTCCATTTGATTTCAGTATCTAACTTATCTACACTTTTATGTGTTACGTAACCTATTATAGCAATTAGCAAGTTGTCTGTTTTTTTAGGTGACAAACTTTATTTATTAATTTGAATAGTTACGTGTAGTTATCTTTTAAAATATATGATAGTATAAAAATCATGTTATAGTGTGTAGAAGTTGTGTCGAGGGTCTATCGGAAACAACCTCTCTACTCCTCACGAGGAGTAGGGGAAGGTCTGCGTACATACTACCCTCCCTAGGCCCCACTCGTGGGATCTCACTGGGCCGTTGTTGTTATAGTGCGTAGAAGTTAAACTGTGGATCTTATGTGTCTTTGACCGAGCAAAGTTTAAGAAAGCAAATTTTGAACAATAAGTGAAATATGTAGTCCTATAATACACCCAAAGTACATGTGGTCTTGCCATGTCAATTCCTGTTAGACTATTTTCCTATAGGGATAAAACAGAAATCTTAAGATTAAAGAGTTTCTAGATATCCAAAGGAATCATTTTTTCAACTGAAAATGGAACAAAGGAGTAGTCCATTTCTAACCAAAAGAGTTGCTTTCACCTGGGTTTTTAGTGTCTTGATGATTAAACAAACTAAGTTTGACTTAAATTCATCTGCTTATATTCTCTTTTATCTATTCTGATTTATAGGTTTGAGATTTCAATCTAAAGGTAGATACTTTGAGTACTCAAAAAATGGTATCAGAAGTTTTAGTAGCGCCGTGGTGCATGAAGAGCCAATCACTCCACCTGTTGAAGTTAAATATAAGCAGCTTCTAATTAATGGACAGTTTGTAGATGCAGCCTCAGGTTGACCTTTCATCTCTTAAAATCTTTCATTTCAAATGTTCTTTTAAAGTTGCTTCAAGAGTAACATGGAGAATACTATGTCTTCAGGAAAAATGTTTCCTACATATGACCCTAGGACAGGGGATGTCATTACTATGGTTGCGGAGGCCGACACTGAAGATGTCAATCGTGCAGTCTCTGCTGCTCGTAAAGCATTTGATGAAGGACCATGGCCTAAAATGTCTGCTTATGTAAGGACACATATAGTAACTGGGCCTTCTTATCTTTCTCGATCCTCTTCCTTGCTCCCAACAGACAAAGGCGGATTCAGTATTTAAATTTGATGTGTTCAACCTTTAAGGTTCTTACTATTTGACGCATTGAGTTCTGAAATTTTGGGCAAAATTTTATATTTTCTAACATTCTAGTAAATTTTCAAATATCTATCCATGTTCTGTGTCGAAAATGACGGGTTCAGTTACACCAATCAAATCTATTGTCCATCCACCTTTGCCAATAGTTGCTGCTTGTTTAGATGCCTTGTCTTACTTAAGTGTTAATTTGTTAAATGAATAATTTTTTTTCAGGAAAGATCATGTATAATGTTGCGTTTTGCTGATTTTCTTGAGAAGCACGGTGATGAACTTGCAGCACTTGAGACTTGGGACAATGGAAAGCCTTACGAACAAGCTGCAAATGAAGAAATACCAATGCTTATACGTCTTTTCAGATACTATGCTGGTTAAGAAAATTAAAATGGCGTTATATTTTCTCTGTTTATAGTAAAATTCTGATGTTTGCTGAAATCACCCGTATACTTTTCCAAGTTTTTCCATGTACATTCTTTTTCAGGTTGGGCTGATAAGATTCATGGTCTTACAGCTCCTGCTGACAGTTTGCACCATGTTCAGATCTTGCATGAGCCGACTGGTGTTGCAGGGCAGATAATACCCTGGAATTTTCCTCTATTAATGTTTGCATGGAAAGTTGGGCCCGCACTCGCTTGTGGCAATACTGTTGTACTAAAACCTGCAGAACAGACCCCACTCTCTGCCCTCTATGTGTCAAAGTTATTCCACGAGGTATGTACCTAGGATAACTGTACATTTGGTCTGCACTTGGTCTTGTCGTCACAGAACCTTTTAAGTTATAATTCTAAAGAATGCGGAGTCGTATTGTCATTGTGTTTATTGTGATCTATTTATTTACAAATTCAGCAGTTTCACATCTATAATCGAAAACTTTCCCACAGTTGGTGCAGCTCAACGTGAAGATATTCTCCATCCATACAAGATGATAGCATGTTTTTTGTGCTTCAATGACAGGTTGGACTTCCCCCTGGAGTCTTGAATGTCATACCTGGCTTTGGTAGTGCAGGTGCTGCTCTTGCCAGTCATATGGATGTCGATAAGGTATTTTAAGTTTTGGCTTTGTTCCTGAAATTGCCTTATGAGCCTATAATATACTAATGAATGGACACACAACCTTGATTATAGCCTCTCGTTAGAGAGTTCAGTCCACATGTAGGATAAGTGAAGAGAATTATACTATCTTTTTCTTCTAACTCAACAAAAAAAAAGGTTATGCATCCTGATGTCCTTTCAGCTTTTGTATTTCATGCTCACTTTTGTTGATATTGTTGTGATGTGTAAAGTTTTTTAATGAATATTCGGGAATAGGTGAGGGAGAATGAAGAGAACTGACATCTTCTTTTTTCTTCACTTTAAACAGCTTGGCCCTTGATATTACTTCTTGCATATTATGGTGTCGTTTTTTCAGAATTTTTTATTTATCTGTGATGCCTAAAATGCAATGTATCTCTACATCACTCATTTTTGTGTCTACAGCTTGCTTTTACAGGGTCCACAGAAACTGGTCAAGCAGTACTAAGTGCAGCTGCAAAGAGCAACCTAAAGCCAGTGACTTTGGAACTCGGAGGAAAATCTCCTTTCATCATTTGTGAAGATGCAGACATTGATAAAGCTGTTGAGTTGGCTCATTCTGCGGTTTTCTTTAATCAGGTAGCAGAGTTCCACCCTCGGAAAATTGTGACTTCTGGTGCTTGCTCTGGAAAAAATAATTTTCAAATATTTGCAGGGACAATGTTGCTGCGCTGGATCACGGACTTTTGTACATGAAAGAGTATATGATGAATTTGTAGAGAAAGCCAAGGCCCGTGCTTTAAAACGTGTAGTTGGCGACCCTTTCAAGAAGGGAGTTGAACAAGGTCCTCAGGTACCATTCTTCCTGTAATAAAAAAATAGAATGATTTAATAAACCCTCTTAAGGACAAGAGGAATAATATATCCTTACCAATTTGGTAGTAGCCAACTTTTCAGGGAAAGAGTTTGCCACTGGTACCTTTGTTATTTCCTTTTCATCATATTACATATAAACTTAAATAACGAAGTTTAATAATAATCGTGAACTTTTATTTGCATTTCTGAAGTAGCTGTAACGCGGCCTTTTCTTGTATGAATAGATTGATACCGAGCAATTTGAGAAGATCCTTAAGTACATAGAGTCTGGTATTGAAAGCGGGGCTACTCTCGAGTCTGGAGGGGAAAAATTGGGTTCCAAGGGCTTCTATGTCCAACCTACTGTCTTCTCAAATGTCCAGGTACAACTACCATTGCCCATAAGATATATCCATACATAAAGTAAAAAGACGAATATGATAGCGATGGCATCAAATGGTTTAGTTTAAAATTATTTTTCAACCATTTAGGACAACATGCTGATTGCCAAAGATGAGATATTTGGACCAGTGCAGTCCCTCTTGAAATTCAAGTAAGAGTACATTTCATCTTTACGTTTCCTAGCTGTTCTTTTATTTCGTTTATCAATTCTGAACCTGACCTTGAAACATTCAGGGATCTTGAAGAGGTCATTCGAAGGGCAAACTCGACACATTATGGTTTGGCGGCGGGTGTTTTTACCCAGAACATAGACGTAGCCAATACAATATCTCGAGCCCTTAGAGTAGGGACAGTGTGGGTTAACTGCTTTAACATCTTTGATGCTGCCATTCCCTTTGGTGGGTATAAGATGAGTGGACACGGAAGAGAAAAGGGAGTTTACAGCCTCAATAACTACTTGCAGGTCAAAGCTGTTGTTACCCCTCTGAAGAATCCTGCATGGATGTAGTTTTCTTTAGAAGAATTAACCTAAACAACCGCCCACCCAACCGCTTAAATTAAAAATAGCCGGCGGATGTTGTAAAATATGTATAATCCATGTACAACGTGTGTATAACCATGTAAAATTAGCGAATATATATATATATCGGTTAGGAAAAGTAAACAGTGAATTCAATCTGCTATTTGTGTAAAGTTCCTTTTCCTTTTCTGTTTTGTGGTGGCACTTTTGTAGATATTTTGCAACGTACAATCTTTTTTAACGCCACTTGTATTACTTTTTTGGATAAGTTGCAACATGCAATCTTTGTTTTTGTATTTTCTTTTGTATGCTTAGGCTGACCTAATACAACATGCAATCCTGTTTTCGTGAGATCTTTTTATACTTTTGTAGATAAGATGTGAAATACAATCTTGTTTTCTGTGAGATCGTTTGCCTTTGTGCAACTGATGAATTTTCATATTTTCCTAACCATCCAACATGTTTGCCCTGGCTGGTATAGCTAGTTCGTCTTCCAGCTTGTCAACAACTTTCTCAATGAAGGGTCTATTTTGCTTTGGTTCAATGCATGAAATAGCTAACTCCAATGTGAGCTGGAAAGCCTCTGTTGAGTAATCTCCATAATGTTTTGGATCAACAAATTCCGTTGCCCGTTTTTCCCGCATCAGCGATTTTGCCTGAAATGACAGGTATTTATCAACATCCGGTTATTTTGTTATGATTAATTAATGATACATTCATGAAAAGGGATAGTTGTTTACAATTTTGTCCAATGTTGTTGCTTGCTCCATGTTCATATTGATAGCTTTCCTCCCAGAGAGGATCTGCAGTAGTACTACTCTCAAACTGTATACATCACCTGCTGAATTTACACGATGATTCGTTTCATATTCAGGATTGACATAACCAAAAGTGCCTCTCACTTCTGAGATCATGTAGGATTCACCAATGTCTATCACCTTGGACAGTCCGAAGTCAGAAAGCTTAGCTTCAAAATTCTGTCCTAGGAGTATGTTTGTAGGCTGTGGATATAAGGTGAGCAAGCGAACAATGTCCAAATTTAAGACCTTTAAAGCTAGCTATTTACACTGACAGTTTAAACTATTTCTACTAGGTTACTAATTAATGCTTATCATAGAGATTTATCTGTGATTACCTTATAAGTGACATGATTGTGTAAATTCAACAGTAAAGGTCAGGTCCTATAAATATAGAACAAAGTTAATAGTTGTTAACCTGCTGTCCCCTCACCAATGTAGTTTGATTCATTTAGATTGTTTGTAGCAGACTAGACCTCCTCAATGGAGACTTCCACACTAGAATCTTTTGGCATTGCCAAATCTGTAGCTGCCAATTAATTTATCTACCTTTTTAGTCTGTTATACACAACATGTTCAAAAGTTGCAAAAATGAAAGAAAAGAAAGTGGCGGCTATTTTTTAGGTAACCTGATAGCGACTATCTGGAGAGGTACATTACCAAATTTCTTATTAGATGCATCTACTTGCCAAATTCTTGTACTTGATAGTATACTTGTAAATTTCTTATCAAATTCTAGTACTTGTAAGTGTTTGACCAAAAAGTGTTAAACATTTTTGTTAAACTAATTAAGTAAATGATAATAGGTAAATTCTAGTTAAATATAATAAGTCCTAGATCCAAGATTGATGGGTAGTAATAACCTAGAAATCACATTCAAAGCTATTAAAAACCAAAAGGAGATTTAGTGATATTCTTGTGAATAAATGAGGGAATGAGGACAAACAATAAATATGATGAATGACAATAGCTGTAATAAAGAGAATAATTCACCCAAATGTATAACAAGGTGGATGATGTTGAATATGTCAAAACATCCCACATCGGTTGGGGAGAAAATTGGGTGGGAATTTCACCTATAAAAATAGGCCTAATATTTAAGATTTAAACACACCTCTCATTTGCCTTCTTATCTTCTTAAGGCATTTGTATCTTCTCTCTTTAGTATTATTTCACTTGTATTTTTGGAGTGGAATAAAATATTGGTTGTGTCCGAGGAAATAGGCAAAATTGACCGAACCTCGTAAATTCTGGTGTTCCTTTTATTGTTGCTTTATTGTCTTATTTATTATTTGGTAGCTGTCATAATTTTTGGTATAGTTGTTGTGACTCATTCACACTATATATATTTGACTTCCGCAACAGATGATTCCCCCTCTGACAATGATGTAAGATAACCAAACGTGGGAATATGAAATACTTTATTGAACAACACATCCAATCCAATCTTGTATAAAGATAAAGTCTGTAGTTATGTGGGAGTCAACTTTTCTAGAGAGAACTTATCAAGATAGAAAATTAGATGTCTCCTCTTTCTCTCTCTATTCCTACTTATATGTGACATTCCTCTTACCTACTGAAAGTACAACTATAGAGAATATTTTTCTAAATATTCTTTAGAAATATCTTGCTAAACTAGCTGTTTTGACCGATCTGAGTCCTCGACCTCAACATTCGTTGCTCGGCTCGCCAGTCAGGGGCGGATGCACGCTTCCTCAAGCGGTGTCATGCGACATCGCTTTGTCGGAAAATTTTACTAAAAATAAGTATTAATACTGTACGGAAACGGATAAGTAAGAAAAAATGACATCACTTGACATAAATTGTGCCTTGGTGTGTTGGTTTTATGCTTGATTTTGCTCTTAGAGGTCAAAGGTTCAAACCTCAACATTTTTCTTTTGTAAATATTTGAGAGAGCCTTTGTAGTTAAAAATTGTGATGAAATAGAATTGGACTCAAAATCTTTTTTAACTTAAGACTCAACAAAGCCAATAAACTAAGGTTATTTCTTGTCTAAAAGTATGATAATCAAAGTAACATTCCAGTTCTTCTATAAATTTTGACACCGCTTACAAAAATTCCTGCATACGCTCCTGTCGCCAGTGTTGTTTTTTAAGCATCACCTCGGCCTAATTGATTCTTGATTTCCCTATTTCAGGCAAGGTCCCTTCGATTAAATCTTGACCCATACACCAAGTGTTACCAAAACTGCAAACCTACATATGTCTGGTTCAACCTCCATGTATCCTCATTTTCTGAGTTCATTTCCTTTATATATTTCCAGCTATTTATGTAGGACTCACATGACTGACCCCCTTGGTCAAATTGAAAGTTATTAGTCAAACTTTCGAGTTTGTCTCCTAACTTCATGTTAACATCGGTAACAGAGAAATCTGAGCAGCTGCCACCACCTCTTGTTAGTTTCTCAACCCCACAACTATCCCATTTCGGCATTTCCTCCTTCATTTATCTTAGTCAAGCAGTTCGTCTGCTGAGTCGAATTTAGGTACAATTGCCCTGTTTCATTTGCTCTGATTCCCATTACATAAATGTAGTCTCGGAACGGTTCTTCACAATCATCATTCAAATTTCTCTGTTGATATATAATAGCTGCGTTATGTCAGCAAGAAAAGAAAAAAAACAGTGCTAAATATGGAGGTAAAATTTAAGTCATATTTTATTAAGAGAAAAAAGCCGTCAGCATTTAAATGCTGTGCCCGGGCCCAAGCGTTGGGTTGCATGAGCTCCGATAATGATTTTTTTTTAAACCAGCCGATGATATGTTAACATTGTGAAATTTTTTGCTTGTTTTTGTTACTCTCTGTCTTTATTTTAAATTGTCAATCTAGTTTAAACATTATAAATAACTTTTGTAGTTTCAATTTGTTATTTTTTTGATATTAAAATTTGTAAGGCTTAGAAATTATAAAAGGTATATTCTTATACATTAATTTTCATTACTACGATATTTTGGCAAACTTGTTTTTCCCCAGATGGCTTTATTTCTCTACTTTATTACTCTCTTCAGTCCACAATAAGTGATCAATTTGCATTGGACACACCCATTAAGGAAATGCTCAATTCTAGACGAAAATAGTTAGTGTGACCAAACTATCCTTCATTAAATGTTGCACCATAGTTATAGTAACACTTACTTCACTTCTCAAATGTGAGGAGTAAATAACTTTTTAAGGATACGTACATAAGAGTAATTTCGGAAAAATAAATAATTTTTTTTTAATTATACAAATGAAAACTTATTTTGGACCAAAATAAAAAAATAAATTGGTCATTTATTGTGAACCGGAGGGAGTAGAAGCTAAGAAGGTTGTATTAGTTTTGGTAATAGGAATATCTTCTTTTAGAGTGTCTTTTTCCACAAGTTTGTCCAATTGTGATACAATTATAGTGTACCCAATGTATCGTAATGTTCAATGTTGCTTATGCCAATTTATGGTAGCAGTGCGAATCATCTTTCAGGTGTACTTTATTCTAATATCACTGGTGAGTGGCTCTTCTTTCTCCTCTCTACATTTTCCAAAGAAAAAATAAGGGCTCCTCTTTCTTCATGCTAGGAGGCCTCATTGTGGAAAATAAATTTGGAAAGGACTTACCAGTCATTTCATCTTAATTAGCATTCTATCAGTGTCACTTATGATTTAAGGATCCATAATTTTTGCACCACCTGAACCCAATAATTTACCTAGGTCAGAAGCCAGAAACTGAAAATTCAAATAATTTTCAAATTGAAAAAAAAATTCTAATATTCACATCTAATCCAGTTTAAGCCAACTGTAGGTCATACCGCAAGTTTAGAACTCAAGCCACATTCATCACTGGTAGAAGGCTAGACGTGCTTATAAGAGCATGTGCTCTCACACAAGGTAACATTTTGACGATGAATTGACACAGAATGTTTAGTTAAAGACCTCTAATTAGACATGCAAAGAATGTATAGTTTATTAATGCATTTGTCAATTATTGGAAACTCATTTTTATTTTTAATAAATTATTACATGTAAAGCTGGTTAGTTGTAATATATCCTTTTTTTTTTTTTTTTTTTTTACATTTTTGGTTTATTATACTCTCTTCAATGTATTTGTTAGCTATAGTATACTACTTATTTTATTGAATTTTTTGTGTTTTATAGACTTTTTACAATTAAACTTCCACATATTGTGTGTCAAACCCACGGAAAAAATTAAGGAAGACTACATAAACATTATTATTATTATTCATGTAATAGGTTACAAATGCAATTGAAGAGATATGTGTGAAAAGTTTTAGGCGGGCTCCTTATTCTATGATAACTTTTGAGAATTTTCCATTTTTCATTTTCCATAGTGAAATAGTAAGTTTTGGTGGTACCATTTCCCTTCAAATTCACTTACGTATACCTTAAAGTTTGTTACAGTATCAAAAAAGGATACTCCACAAGGAACGAAAACGGAAACAAATTTCTATATAGGAAAATCATTTCTAACTTCTCTTCTCTTTT